GAGGGAGGTGGGAGGGGGGACCGGGATGGGGAATACATGTAAATCCATGGCTAATTCATTTCAATGTATGACAAAAACCACTGCAATGTTGTAAAGTAATTAGCCTCCAACTAATAAAAATAAATGGAAAAAAAAAAAAAGAAACTTGCTTGAGACTACACAGCTGGTGAAGGTACTAACCTAAATCTGTTGGGTTCCTGAGTCCATGATCTTTCTGCTGCTTCACGGGCAGAGGCAGGAGGAAGGAGAAAGATAAGGGGCTGTTGCATAGGACGTTTGGGGATGGGAAGCAGGAAAAGAGAATCAGGGGCCTGGGAAGCATGATTGACTTCCCAGAACTGACTCATTGGAAAAGACCCTGATGCTGGGAAGGATTGAAGGCAGGAGGAGAAGGGGATGACAGAGGATGAGATGGTTGGATGGCATCACTGACTCGATGGACATGAGTTTGAGCAAGCTTTGGGAGTTGGTGATGGACAGGGAAGAATGGTGTGCTGCAGTCCATGGGGTCGCAAAGAGTTGGACATGACTGAGCGACTGAACTGAACTGGGAAGCATAAGGCGTGCGGGCAGACATCCCAGAGTGCCATCTGGAGTTCCATGAAGTCCCCGCAAGCAGCCTTTATCTCTGCGAAATCAGGCCAGCCGGCCGGTGCCGAGCTGCAGCTTTGCCGGGAAGCCTGAGAACCTTGTGCTCTGGAAGCAGTGGCTGGCGTGGATGATTAGGCAGCAGATGGGAACTTGAAGTCACATGTCGGACCAAGCCCAGCCAGCAGGATCTGAGTCTTCTGCAGCACTCTCACATGTTTGAGACGCTCTGAATTCTCCCTCCTTTGACTGTGCTTCCCACTCCCTCCCAGTCCCTCCCGGCTCCCTTTCCTTTCGCTGTTTTTGGCTTTAACTTTTGTTTTCTCAAGGTCCCTCTGCCTCCTCCTGGGACCTGGGGATGCATGTTCACTGTGATATTTTTCAGGCCTCTCCCATGCAACACATTCAAATAAAAGCCACTTTCCCCCCACCCAGCCAACCTGCTTTTCTTCCTCCCTAGTTTCCTGCTTTGCTTTAAGGCATCAGATGAGGATGGAAACTAGGAAGAGCCGGCTCTCTACCTCCGTCTCCACTCGGTTTCTCCATCACCCTCCATGGCCTGTCTGCTCCCACCACCAGCATCCTAGTTTCCACACTCATCCTCTCCCACACCAGCTAAACTTTCTTCCTTCCTTCCCCACTCCCTCCTGCACACTGCCACCCCAGGTGTCTCTCTAAAACCTGGATCGGATCGCGCTTGTAAAACATTTTCTAGGACAGATCCACAGTCTTAGTGTCACTGAACAGGGGCTCACTCTGTGACGCACAAAGAAGCCGATATTATGGCACCAGCTTTTGAGAAAAGAAAGAGCTGTATTGAGAGGTCAACTGGCAAGGAGACAGGAGGCCAAGCTCACAAGTCTGTTTCCCTGATCCAGAATCTAGGGTGAAATTTAAAGGGTTCAGGGAATTTAAAACGTGGAAGCTGATTGGCTAGTCTCCAATCAACCCATATTAGCTACTCGGGCTGCTGGAGGCCAGATTTTCCTTATCGCAGCACTCCTTGCTTCGTAAAGGGCTCTGGTGGCAGCATTTCTATTCTTTGAGCTCTGTAGACGAAAGGTTCTGGGTTCTGGGTCATCCTGGAGACTTGGGCACCCAACTTGAACAGATGCAGTGCTGTCTGTGAAATAACTCAAGGTCTGACTAATCAATCAATCTATTTAAGGGAGACAAAGCTCTTCCCTGGTGGCTTGCATGGTAAGAAGTCTGCCTGCAATGCAGGAGACCCAAGTTCACCTCAGAATCCCACTCACCCAGGAATAGCCAGCAGTCACAGCATTCCTTGGGTCTTGGGACCCACCTGGTGCTTTCAGCACTCCAGGTACTACTTAGCATCCTTACTGTATCCTTTATTCTTCTGCCACATATCCTCTTAGCTCTGAGCCAGGCCAGCACCAGAAAGAACAACAACAGAAAGCCCTCTCATTTGGAGCCTGATTTCTACTCAAGATTTTTGGAGCAGAAGAGACACTGGCCAGTGATTATGAAGTTTGAGTTACCATATTGCTGTGAAGGCCCAGCTAAATGGAAACAACTAACTTCAGAACCCCAGAGAGGGAAACCCCAATTCAAAACTGCCTTGGGTGATTCCCCAATAAGTTATCTTTGAGGATGACTAGTGGCACTGACAAGAATTGGTTCATGGAGGCATTTATTTATGAGAAATATTCAATATATATACCTATATATTCAAACCAGTCTATCCTAAAGGAAATCAATCCTGAATATTCATTGAAAGGACTGATACTAAAGCTGAAGCTCCAACACTTTGGCCACCTGATGCAAAGAGCCAATGCTTTGGAAAAGACCCTGATTCTGGGAAAGATTGAAGGCAAAAGAAGAAGGGGCTGGCAGAGGATGGGATGGTTAGATAGCATCACTGACTCAATGGACATGAATTTGAGCAAACTCTGGGAGACTGTGAAGGACAGGGGAGCCTGAAGTCCTGCAGTCTGTGGGGTCTCAAAGAGTTGGACACAACTTAGTGACTGAACAACAACAACCTATATATTCAATAAAGATATAAATGCATATTCAATATTCAAATATATATGAAACAAATAGTCAATATATAAACACTTGCTATTTGGTGCACACCTAGGGCTACATAGTAGAGCACAGGGATGAAGCACATGATTGTTGAAGACCTACTATGTGCCAAGCACTCAACACACATGACCTCACTCACTAGTTACTGCAACCCCAGAGGTGGTATCATTACTGCTATTTTACAGATGAGGAAATGGAGGCTGAGAGCATGAGTTAGTATGAGGGAGACTGTTTTCATACCTAGTAAAGCACAGTGGATAGATGATTAGAATATCTGCTATCATGATCAATCATTATAATTAGCAATAGTACTGACTGTGAAATATGGAAAGTCAATGGTTATATGTGCTCTCTGGATCACAGCCTGTTAAGGTGACAGGAGGACAAGACAGCAGGAAGGACAAGACAGTGGACTGGGTCCTTTATCCAAAACCGACTTCCTATATGTGTTTAGACACACCCTGTCCTAGGTGCTTTGTTTACATAGCTCATCCAATCCTAATGACTACCCCCTAAGAAATAGAGCTTATTATTATCTTCATTTTACAATCAAAGAACTTGAAGCATAGGAAGAGACTAAAAACACTGAGAAATTATTCAAGGTCTCATCACCAGTGGGGATTTGAACCCTTGTACTCAGACCCTGGAGTTGGCTTGCTTTGCTGCTAAATGGTACCCTTCCCTGGCTAATTGCTAGCCTTTATCACCTGAGGTATAAGAGTGCCACTTTTCACTAACAAAAATATAGCATGCACAATTCAATTCAAATTTCAAGGAAGCCACAAATAAATTTTTAGTATAAGTGTATCCCATGCTCTATGGTCATATATTGTGTTGGTCAAAAGTTTTGTATGAATTTTCCATATAATCTTATGGAAAAATTCAAACAAATATTTTTGGTTAACCCACGAATAGGTGTGCTAAGTCTGCTAAAATACCTAGCACATAGTTTGTACTCAAAAAGCCCATTTTCCTTCTCCTTTGACAGACTACCCAAACTCCTGTTAACTCTCTCTCTTCACTAACAAACGATCATTTCCAGCTGGGTGCATCCTCCAGAATGAAGGATGGTGTTTCCTGGGTTCCCTTACTGGGCCCTAATATCTAGGTGTGCCCAAGTGTCTAAGTTATATCCAACGAAATGTAGTCACATTGTAGTGTTTTTTGGTGTTTCTGGAAAGCTTAAAAGGGAGGGGACAAAGTGTTTTTCCTTCCCTCTGGTCTTTCACATTTCCGCCTTTATCTGGCCTGTAATGTAGATGTATCTGTGGCATTCTGGCATTGGTGTTGGACCATGAAATAACCTTGAGGCCAAAGCAATCAGATGAGGTCAGTGGAACAGGAAGACAGATGCCCTGTTCCCAGTGACCAATAGAGTGAAGTACCACCCGTCTATTTGGAGTAATCTGATAGGTGAAAAATAGTATCTTGGAGATAGAAATGGCCACCCACTCCAGTACTCTTGCTCTGGAAAACCCATGGACAGAGGAGCCTGGCGGGCTACAGTCCATGGGGTTACAAAAGAGTCAGACATGCCTTAGCGACTAAACAACACAATAGGTGAGAAATGGTATCTTACTATAGATTTAATTGGCATTTTTTTGTTGTTGTTGTTATTGTGAGTAAAGGTTGTAGGTCTTTTCTTGTGTTTCTGGCTGCTCGCTTATTTTGCATATTAATACCATCTCTTTGAAATCTATCCACTCTGCCCTAGGGACGTATACTTTGTCGCTTCTCCTTGCAACACTATGTTCCATGGACCACTTTCATTATATTTAACTTTATTTCCCCTGGCAACATCTATTACCATAAACCCTTACTGTGAACCAGAATTTCTCTGGGATATATGTACCCAGGAGGACATAGATGCATTTAATTTCACTCAGGGCTGATAGATTGCTTTTGGAAATGTCTATAATCATTTACCTTTCCACCAACAGGGCATAGAGTTTTTACTTTTTTAATTTACTCATTTTACACATATGACAATGAGGCCTAGATAGGGGATGGGGGCTCGTCATAAAGTTCACCAGTAAGAACCAAGATTCGAGCCCCAGTCTTTTAAGTACATATTAATCAGAGAAGCTAGAAATGTTACTCCAGGGGAGGGAAAGAAAGTTTCCCTTTCAATGGTGAGAACTGCTTGCTGATGCTGGGCTCTGAGATTTGTGGAAGGTTCTAGGGAGGCTGTCTTGCACTGGCCCTCAAATTGTTCACATACCACAGATATTTGAGGGAAAGAGTTGGGGGGTGATGAGGAGGGAGGAGAGGGGAAAACACAGTGGCACTGTAACCACTAAAATCCTATCCTTTTACCCAGCATGGTGCAGTGGTTAGGTGCACGGGGTTTGCAGCCCAACAGATGTGGATTTAAATTCCAGCTCTGCCCTTTACTGTGGGACATAGAACATATCCTGTAAAGTCCCTGCATTGTGTCATCATCATCTCTAACATGGCAATCGTGACATCAGCTTTGTGTGGTTACTCTGAGATTTAAAGAGAGAGCACCTGTAAAATGCCTGGAAGGTACTAGATGGTCAGTAAAACTACAAACACAATTCAACCTCCTTGACGTGGTCTACAAGCCCCACGTGCTCTGGCCCCTCATATCTCTCCCACCCTGTCTCCTCTCCTCTCCCTGCTGTTTATTACACACTGTTGCACACACCACTCTTTCTCTGCCTTTTCTGACATGCCAAGCCTGTTCGCAGCTCAGAGCCTTTGCTTGTGTTATCCCCTCTGCATGGAGAATGGTGGTGGTGGTTTAGTCGCCAAGTCATGTCCTATTCTTGAGGCCCCATGGACTGTAGCCCCCCAGCCTCCTCTGTCCATAAGATTTTTCCAGGCAAGAAAACTGGAGTGGGTTGGACTTTCATTTTCCAGGGGATCTTCCCAAACTAGGGATCAAACTTGGGTCTCCAGGGAAGGTACATGTACAGAGAATGGTCCTTACAAACTTTTAGCTTCATGGCTCCTTCTTATCCCTAGATTCTTACCTCCAGGGTCCCATCTCCTTATCTAAGCTTTCTCCCCGCTTGAGGACCCAAGCTTCTCCCTATCACGTCACTCTGTCTTACCTCTTTCAAAACATTTATCTGGTGTTTTCTGAAATTGTTTTATTGTCGCTCTTCGATGAGGATGGGAGCTCCATGAGGGCAGAAACCTCCTCTGTGTTGCTTGTGCTGTAGCCGCAGTTGCGTTGAACACATAGCTGGTGCTCAATAAAATCTCCTGGAGGAGAGGATGATGATGGTGATGATGGAGGTGATGAGGGCTTGTTAATCTCCTTTCCAGGTTTCACAAATTTTATTCTTTTCTGAAATACCTCAGTTTCAGAGCCTCTCTCTGTGTCTTGCAGGAGTCTTAAGGATAACAGGCAGTGCAGGTCGAAAACCCAAGGGGTAACATTTCAGAAGGAGGCAACACAGCCTTTGGGAGATGATGACATGAAGCAGTTGGGTTCTGTTGGCCTGAGGCTTGAGATTCTGGAGAGAGGTTACAGAATGCTATCCAGATATTGTTGCTGTTCATTAACTAAGTTGTCTGACTCTTTGCAGCCCCATGAACTGCAGCACAGTCTTCCCAGCCCTTCATTATCTCCTGAAGTTTGATCAGACTCATGTCTATCGAGTCAATGATGTCGTCTGACCATCTCATCCCCTTATTACTACTTGTTGTTGATCATTTACATATCTCTTCACATTGTCCAGGATCTTTTACAGTGCCTTTTTATCAGATTTGCAGAGAGCTTCGTACAAATGTTTTATTGCATATTGTTAACCTGGCAGGGGTTTCCAGTGTCAAAAATTGGAATGTTTGCATTTTATGGGACTGGAGAACTTTTCTTTCTCAAATGTCTGACTTTGTCTTTTCAGCTGATTGTGTAAATATAAAAGAACAAGATGTCAAGGGCAACATGAGCTTTTTGAAGGCAGGAACTACATCTGAATCATCTTTTTATTCTCAATACAAGACCTGGTGTGTAGTAGGTAGTAAATGTTTCTTGAATGCAATAAGTGGAATGAACGTAAGTTAATAAATAATTGAGAACCTTCTGGTGTAGACACACATCATGAATGGAGGGAGTGATCATCAAAAGCCAGATTCCCCTGCCTGCAAGGGTTAGCTTTACCCTCTGTTCCTGGGGTGTGACCTGTGAGCCCGTCTTCTTTCTACCCAGTCTTCCTCCTCATGCTGACCAATCCAGGAACAGGAAGAGGGCTCAATCCTGCCAACGGCAAACTTGCAGGTCTCTTTCTCTGTGACACTAAGAACCCAAGCCCAGGTCTCAGAGGTGAAAATGTTCTTTTGTTAACTGGTTGTTGATCAACTTGTATATCACTGTGTTGCAATATAATTTTTAGAATCTCAAAGACTTTTCTAAAATAACAAAAACAAAACTTAAAAACATGTTATGTAAGTAACACATGTCTCTTATAGAATAGTTAATAAATATAAAGAAAAAAAAAACAGAAATCACCCATAAGCCTACCATCCAGACTGCTGCTGCTGCTAAGTCGCTTCAGTCGTGTCCGGCTCTATGCGACCCCACAGACGGCAGCCCACCAGGATCCCCTGTCCCTGGGATTCTCCAGGCAAGAACACTGGAGTGGGTTGCCATTTCCTTCTCCAATGCAGGAAAGTGAAAACTGAAAGTGAAGTCGCTCAGTCGTGTCTGACTCTTAGCGACCCCATGGACCGCAGCCTACTAGGCTCCTCCATCCATGGGATTTTCCAGGCAAGAGTACTGGAGTGGGGTGCCACTGCCTTCTCTGACCATCCAGAACTAATTACTGCTATTTATCAAGAATTTTAAAATATTTATAGATAAATGAATAAATAAGTAAATAAATAAATACCTATAAATACATCTGTAAATTTTACATATGTGTGTGTGGTGTGCATATGGAGAAGGAAATGGCAACTCATTCCAGTATTTCTGCATGGGAAATCCCATTGACAAAGGAACATACAGGCTATAATCCATAGGGTCTCAAAAAAGTCAGACATGACTTAGTGATTCAGTTCAGTTCAGTTCAGTTCAGTCACTCAGTTGTGTCCAACTCTTTGTGACCTATGGACTGCAGCACGCCAGGCCTCTCTGTCCATCACCAACTCCCAGAGTTTACCCAAACTCATGTCCATTGAGTCAGTGATGCCATCCAACCATCTCATCCTCTGTCATCCCCTTCTCCTCCTGTCTTCAACCTTTCCCAGCATCAAGGTCTTTTCAAATGAGTCAGTTCTTCGCATCAGGTAGCCAAAGTGCTGGAGTTTCAGCTTCAACATCAGTCCTTCCAACGAACACTCAGGACTGATCTCCCTTAGGATTAAACAACAAATATACATGTGTGTGTGTATATGTGTGTGTGTGTGTGTATTGTTGTTCAGTTCACATTCTGTCTCCAAATAATATCACATTCTGAGGTCCTGGGGTTTTGACATTTTTCATAATTTTGGGGAGAGGACACAATTCAACCCATACCTGTTCCCAGTTACCACCATAAGGACATTTGTCCATACATATCTTACTGGAAGTTTTGCTATTGTAGCCTGCTGTGCAAAAAAAAAAAAAAATATGACCAAAATAAAAAGAACTTGAAAATTAGATAATATATGTGAAAATCACTCAGTTGTGTCCAACTCTTTGTGACCTATGGACTGCAGCACGCCAGGCCTCTCTGTCCATCACCAACTCCCAGAGTTTACCCAAACTCATGTCCATTGAGTCAGTGATGCCATCCAACCATCTCATCCTCTGTCGCCCCCTTCTCCTCCTGTCTTCAATCTTTCCCAGCATCAAGGTCTTTTCAAATGAGTCAGTTCTTCGCATCAGGTAGCCAAAGTGCTGGAGTTTCAGCCTCAACATCAGTCCTTCCAACGAACACTCAGGACTGATCTCCCTTAGGATTAAACAACAAATATACATGTGTGTGTGTATATGTGTGTGTGTATGTGTATTGTTGTTCAGTTCACATTGTCTCCAAATAATATCACATCCTGAGGTCCTGGGGTTTTGACATTTTTCATAATTTTGGGGAGAGGACACAATTCAACACATACCTGTTCCCAGTCACCACCATAAGGACATTTGTCCATACATATCTTACTGGAAGTTTTGCTATTGTAGCCTGCTGTGCAAAAAAAAAAAAAAGACCAAAATAAAAAGGACTTGAAAATTAGATAATATATGTGAAAATCACTTACAGTGGAATTTCTAGGTCAAAGATGTCCTTTGAATGAAGATGAGCCTGATGAGAAGAATTTAGTCAATGACAGATCGGGTGAAGATGAGCAGTTTCTGGGCAGATGAACAGCTAGTTTCATAGCAGGAAAAGCTTGGGAGTTTTGGGGTTTGGTATTCAAAAATGGAAAGAAGACTGAGGCATAGCAGTTACAGGAGCATCCTAGGAGAAAGTTGGAGATATAGACAAAAGCCAGATTGTGAGGGAGATTGTAAACATGGAGGGCAAGCCTATTAGATGTCCTCCTCATCCTCCTGGGCACATAGACTACAACTTCCAGCCTTCCTTGAAGTTAGGTGTGGTCGTTGACTGATTTCTAGGCAATGGCACCTCCATCGGCCCAGTACTTGATACTCTTTCTTCAATATGATAACATTAGAAGCCACATTTTAAGATGGTGGAACCACAGGATGGAAAGAGCCTGAGTCCTGAATCATTATTTAGAGGCCAGGTACCCTGCACTCAGTAGCACCTGTTTGGAGTTTATCCACGTCACGGTCAGCTTTGGCTGCCATAAGAGAACAGCAAAGACTGGGTGGCTTTAACAAGAGACATCTATTTCTCACAGTTCTGCAGGCTGGAAAGTCCAGGACCAGGTATCTCTCTCGCAGATGGCTGCCTTCTTGCTGTATGCTTTTACGGCTCACGCACACACACACACAGACAGAGAGACAAAGAGAGAAAGACAGAGAGAGGGAGGGAGGGAGAGAAAGATGGCTGAGCTGTGGTTTCTTCCTCTTCTTAAGAGGACAGTAATTACCTCCTGGGGGCTCTACCATCATTATCTCATCTATAGCTAATTACTTCCCAAAGGCCCCATCCCAAATACCATGACATTGATGAGTAGGGTTTCAACATATGAATTTGGGTGGGCCAGGGCTGGAGGTGGGGTGGACACAAACATTCAGTCCACAGCACAGATGCAAGAATTAAGCTTCTATTGGGTTTGGCCACTGAGATTTGGGTGTGTGCTTGATACAGCTGCTAGTGCTGCCTTAACATCTGGATAAGGATTTATCCATGATTTTTTTTTTTAAGTGCATGGGAGACAGAAGATTTTCAGTGGTAGCATAAGAGCAGCCAACTTAAGTTGTGACTGACTTAATATTTCAGATGTAGTTTGTTCACTGACCGAGTGAGGGGCT